CACGTTATAGTGTAAATATCTTTGTAGATTGCACATTATAGTGTAAATATCTTTGTAGACTGCACGTTATAGTGTAAATATCTTTGTAGATTGCACATTATAGTGTAAATATCTTTGTAGACTGCACGTTATAGTGTAAATATCTTTGTAGACTGCACGTTATAGTGTAAATATCTTTGTAGACTGCACGTTATAGTGTAAATATCTTTGTAGACTGCACGTTATAGTGTAAATATCTTTGTAGACTGTGCGTTATAGTGTAAATATCTTTGTAGACTGCACGTTATAGTGTAAATATCTTTGTAGATTGCACATTATAGTGTAAATATCTTTGTAGACTGTACGCTATAGTAGCACCCTTTCTTATTCTGAAATCTCTTAAGGGACTGAATAAAGAATGTAGTGTTAGAAATATAATAGGCCTAATACTAAAGTCTTATGACAAGAATAAATAATAATAAAATATCAGATTCAAGGTTGTTTAACTGGTTTTTATGAACAAAAATAAAAGTTTGAATCATTTACTACAAAGGTAGATCTTTTAATAAAACTCTAGATGTAACTTTTTTTTATTTTTGTATGTTTGGAAGTTTGTTAAGCTGATTAAAGAGATAGATTAAACTTGAAGGAAACATGAAAATGACACATTATGTTGTAATAAGTTCAAGAAAGGCTTGATAGGAGGAAAGTTGCATTGTGCTCACCAGTTTGATGTAACATTAGCATTTTTATAAGTACCTCTTTGCTATTTGAGTTTTCCTGAACACCCGTTTATAAACTTTATTAAAATACAAAGTAAAGTTACAGTGCAACTACAAATACTGTAAAATGTTTGTTTATAAGGGCTGTCTTGGGCCGGATTTATGTGACGGTAACGGAACAGTTTTCAAGTTGGGTCAAGGTAATTACTGGATTTCACTGGGATCTGTCTTGTGAAAAGGAAATCAATAGCTTATGTAAGATCTTAACATGCGCTCTGATAGTTTTAAAATTATTTCTTTAATTCAGGAGATTTTGTAGGAGTTTATTGGGTGGTCTCGTATCCGAAAAGTCTATTATAATATTAAGAAATGGAAGGTCTTGTTTTGAAGTGTAAGAATACAAGTTAGTTATCCCGTATTGAAAATGATTATATCTTAAAAACTACTTGCCCTAGAGAAACTAAGTCTCAACAGGGCCATAAGTGTGGGCATGGTATGGAGAGTTTCTAGAACTTGTCACAAAAGACGTTTAGCTTACTCTCCCAATTAGCATGTCTAGCCTATTCCTACTACAAGCAACATCTGTTCATCACAGTGATCATCCTTTACACTGAGATGCCAATCTCTGTATTATAGAAATGAAAATATAAGCAGTGCTAGTTTCAAGAAAAGTGATTCAAATTTGCAATATAATACGGTTTTTGATACATTGTATAGCATGTCCAAAGTTTTCTCGGTAAAACAATCGATTCTAACTGTGTCTCTACGTGAAAATTTGCAATATAATACGGTGTATAGCATGTACAAAGTTTTCTCGGTAAAACAATTGATTCTAACTGTGTCTCTACATGAAAATTTGCAATATAATACGGTGTATAGCATGTCCAAAGTTTTCTCGGTAAAACAATCGATTCTAACTGTGTCTCTACGTGAAAATTTGCAATATAATACGGTGTATAGCATGTCCAAAGTTTTCTCGGTAAAACAATCGATTCTAACTGTGTCTCTACGTGAAAATTTACTACCTTAGAACAAGTGCTCTTTAGATAAAGTCATTTTAAATATGGACTTTATAATCACCTTAAGATTTTAGTTGGGTATATCGTTAAATGATAATAGTAGGTGTGAAGATACAGTATTAAAACTAAAAGGTTTTTGTGGCAATTAAGTCAAATTTCATGGATAAAAAGTTTTTTGTTCTATTATAAATGAAAAAAACATCCTAATGGAGAAATGTTTTATCGACCATGAACTTTTAGAATGAGTACCCATAGTGTCTAAAAAAGATAACACTTGGTGGTGACAGCCGTGAGAAAGATGGTGGCTCTGACTAAAGACGAGGCTGATGATCTCCCCGACAAGAATATAGCCAAAGATTTTTATGCCAAGTATGAACCTAGAGAGGTTCTTGGAAGGTGAGTGACTTAACATAATATTTATTAATTTTTGACAATTTGATTTAATGAAGTACTCCAAGTATAGACTAAAGAAAATAGGATGCAAATTCTTAATATCTTAAATAGATTGTTACTATGATAAAAAATGAAACTGAGATTAAAAATGCTACTAGCTGTACTGATTGAGGGCTGAGGATAGCCCATTGGCCAGCATGCTAGACTATAGATATATGGGTTTATATTTTGTATCTCATTACTGGAAAAAATTATGTACTCCATACTTTTGTATGGTAATTGTCAAATTACACGATTCTGTGAGACAAATAAAATCCATGAGTTGGTGGTGGATGCTGTTGCCTTCTTTCTAGTTGATCAGTTCAAAATTATGGATGGTTAGTGCAGACTGCTCAAGTACCTTTATGGGAATGTCCAAAAAAAACAAGTGAAAAGAAAAAGTATAAAGATTTGAGAGTGAGTGGGTGCTTTCCAATAGTAGATCAGCTCTAAACATTTGAACCCTATTGTTTTCAGGCGTGTAAATAGTGAGAAGTTATAAACTTTGTATAATATTTTGCTTCTTCATATATACAACTTTGGAAAAATTACATTGGTAACATAGTTACAATTTTGTCACTAGATGGCAGCATTCTGAGAGTTCCTTGAGATAATCTTGGCTATTTATCATTAGTCTCTTTTTATAACAATTATATTGTGACTTGTCAGCTAGATATTTAAAGATACATCTTTCCTTAACAATGTTAATGTCACTGTTGCTGTGGGTGAAAAAAAGGTTGTGTGTGATAAATAAAAACTGAAACATAATGAGAGTCTGGTGTAGTATAGATATAATAAACCACTTTTAGAATTGGCAGACTCTAGTTATAATAATTGAGATGTATATATATATATATATATATATATGTGTGTATCAAAATAAAAACTGATAATGAAAATATTACAACATGCATTGAATGAGTGAACAAAACACACACACACACACATATATATATATATATATATATATATATAAAGCACAAAAAATCTGTGTGTCTGTCTGTCTGTCCCTCATCTATCTACTCCTAGGTCACTTGCCCAATCTCAATTAAACTTTGTGGGATGATAGTTTGGAACAAGGGGCATATTAATGGGGGATTCACAACCCCTTCACCCCCATTATTGATGTTGTTGAGTATTTATTATCTTTGATGTAAGTTAACATTAACTACCAGAAAACTTTATGAAATTTCCTGTCCTCAGGTGGGACAGCGGTAAGTCTTCAGACTTGCAATGCTAAAATCAGGGGGGTTCAATTCCCCCTCGGTGGACACAGCAGGTAGCTTGATGTGGCTTTGCTATAAGATAACACACACACACATCAAATTTTCTATAACACAACATACACAGTGTGGGGGAGGACACTCTTTATGGTGGAATGCAATGAAAAAAATGGCTGCCACTATTGCAATGATACCTAAACTCGGATGAAGTTGATACAACAACAGCCACCATAACGCTGATATGAAGAGCCGTTTACTGAGTCATACCAACTTCTTACTTTGACCCCTAATCTTACAACTTCATTGCGTAAGACACTTCTGCGGCCAATGACCGTCAACTAATCAATATCGTGAAACAGTGTGGAAGGACATTTAAGAGCTGGGTGTTGAAAACAGGTAACAGAAAGCATCTCTACCTCCACTTCTATGGCCACTACCTCTTCATACAAAGTCATCACACAGTGTACATCATGTTATAAGTATATACATAGTGAGTTCTTAAAGCTTATTCAAAACTTTTGGTGAGGTAATAATGAACACTGTAATAATATATTATGTTATAAATAAATTGTATGAGAGTTAGGATTTTTGCATTATTTATCATAGCATCCATCCCCACATTTTTTAAGGTCATAACCCGGACAAAGGACGGGTGCCTCAGTTTGTGAAAAATAAATGTTTCACCGTATGTACAGATGTATTGAATTTTGTTTTTAAAGGGGAGTTAGCAGTACAGTAAGGCGATGTATAGAAAAGGAATCCGGGAAGGAGTATGCAGCCAAAATCATCGACATCAGTGGAGATGCTGAAGATTTTCAGGGTTTATCAGTGAGAGATGCCACTTTGCGAGAGATTGAGGTTCTAAAGCTAGTTGCAGGTCATTCGTACATCAGTAGGTATCGTTGTTTTCACTTAGACTGTATCATAAAAAACATTTACCACAGCAAGACACACTTAAGTTATAATCATACATTAAGTAGGATATTGAGTATCACAAGGATTTTTTTTTTTTTTTCATTTAAGATTTCTTACCTAACCTAAAAAATTTCTAATTTTTAAATTTCAGTTACTTTTATAACAATAAATATACGTAAGAAATTTAGACTCTGGCCTTTTGCTGTAAGAGGACGAGGCACTCTAAACCTACTTTCTGTGATGACGTCTGTTTTCCACAAAATAATTCATGTTTATGTTAAATATGCATTTTATAAAACACAATGTGTCAGGCCCTAAAACTACCATAATTTAACTGGCTTTCTATTAAGCTATAAATAGATTTAAAAAATGCGTTAGCTGCCTGAAACTAAACACTATGATTGCAAATAATGAAAGTTAGGCCAAATATCTCTGTAAACGGGGCAACATTTTATACAATCCATATAAACAGTCTTGTAAAGAAAAGGCACCTCTGTGTATACGTTATAAATAATCCAATAGTAGTGTCTCTGAGAAGTATGTCATTTTTTTGAAAGACAGAATGGTACAGAAAGGGTTATCATATGGGTTTGACTGTTTTTTTTTTTTTATACCTCAGTCAAAGAAGGAGATTAGAAGTTCTAAGTTGACATTCTGGATCGTCAATATCTATAATACGAGTTTGTTATTAGTTGGACAGTGAAATCCACATATGGGCCATTTGGAGCTCAAGGGTGTCGCAGTACACAGAAAAGTTAACATTGAGAATTTATTCAAAAACTTCCTTTTGAAATTAAAAAAGTAAAAACTTGGGTAGTTTTAAAAATTTGAATTATAAACGATAGTTTGAAGCCAGGCTTACTGACGCATATTAACAAAAAAGTTGCTTAATTAAATTTTGAATGTAACTGTCATGATACGCAGATTTTGGTCCTGCAATAAACATAGTGTTATTTGATTACATTAAACTAATCAATTATCCTCACATGAGACTTGAATAGTTGGAAAAATAAAATGCTGTAATAATCAAATATTGTTTACATAACTGTAACTTTTTTTTCCCAACTGTCCAAGATTTTAGTATTCTGGGAAGTGCTTAAAGCGGAAAAATTGTGTCCAGTCTGTATCATTTCCTCAAACTCAAGTTAAAGATTTGCTCCATAAGAGACTTTCTTTCAAACTTCCCATTATTTTGGGTGGCCTACTGTATTTACTCTCTGGGTGAAATGGTGCACCCGAGAATACCACAGTTTAACGACCACTTGAAAACCGAATATAAAGAACATTTGTATACTTTAAAAAGGTACATAACAAGTGATTACCAGGCTTGACACGTTAATGAATAAAAATAGGCTTAGTTTTCCTTGTTTCTTTGTTATTGGCCGAGTTGCTTGAGGTCATTTGGTCACCTCTCTGACTCATTAAAGATTGCTTACTGGTAACAAAAATAACTTGTCAGATGTGATACTAAGGTAATGTACCATGTGTGATACTAGGGTAATATACCATGTGTGATACTAGGGTAATATGTCATACGTGAAACTAAGGTAATGTACCATGTGTGATACTAGGATGATGTACCATGTGTGATACTAGGGTAATGTACCATGTGTTATACTAGGGTAATGTACCATGTGTGATACTAGGGTAATGTACCATGTGTTATACTAGGGTAATGTACCATGTGTGATACTAGGGTAATGTACCCT